AATACGAAGTGGGCATTGGCGTTGAACTAAGGCCTAGTGAGTCACATGTTGTGCATCAAGCAGGCTTTGAAAATCTTATGCCACTCCTGCGTATATGTTTGATAAGTGTACTAATCCAAGACAATGACGACACCCAAGACCAACCTGCTTACGTGCATTAGATCTGAAACTCTGCCAAATTGGTACTTGCAAGCTATCGTTCGTTCGTTCGTTCATGCTAATGCTGATTGCGAACAAGACTTCCTCTCTACCTACAGGGACAGCAACAGCAAAGTCTTCACTAATACTAGCTGGTTTGTGGATGTGAATCACATGCAGATGAAAATATTGATTGGAAATAGAAAGAATGACCACCGACAACTAAGCAAACTTGTTTTTAGCGTCTTCTTGTTGGAAGAATAACAGACTAGTGATCGATCTTCTTCAGAAGATGTCAAAATGTTCGTATTGGCATGCAGAACAAGTTGACACTAAGAAGATTGCTAAAGTTTGAATGATACAGGGCGTTGGAAAACTAGCTAAGAATATTAATTAAGACCCTTATCTGGTTTGTTGGAATTTGGAGAGAAAATTAGATAAGGGAGAGATCCTCATAGATGATAAGGTAAAATCATCTTTTACGTACGTGATTTACGTTTACTATCGAAGAAATAGATTATTATGCCAAAAAAAATAAAAAAAAAAGAATGCAAGCAAGAAAATTTTGAATCTAAATTATTAATAATAATTTGGTGGACCAAACTTTTTAGAAAAATATGCTCGTGTTTTCATGGATTTGCTAGCGTGCGTTGAACGTAGCCGTATAGCATACGCCCATGTATGATTTCTAGAAGTAATGAACGTATAATATAGGATGGATGGATGGTTTTGAAATATTTGCCCCCCATAAATCAATCAACAGAAGTAGGTGATCTAGACATCCCATCCACAAGAAACAATCTTCTAATACGACATAGAATTCAGTTAAAGAGTCCAACCAAGAAATGGCGCAAACCAGACATGTCATGTACGTACCAGAAACTAATCTATTCTTCGGGGTCCATTTTGATCATATAATCACAAGAAAAATTTTCCCTCTCCCTCTAATCACTATGACCGATTCATACAAGAAAGAGAGGCTTCGTTTCTGTCTATCATTTCGATTTTCAAATCAGAAACAATGCCGAACGTGGACTGGACGACTCGGGCCGCCGTAAAGGTACTAAGAATTTTGGAGTACCTTCAGCTAAAATCATGAATCTCCATACACATTTGACTTTCACTTGCTCAAAATTACCGGATAGTGTCCAAAGAAACTATTCAACAATGCATTTATGTTATGGTACTTTTAATGGATTTAGCATATATACTAGGTGAAGTTTCACATTCCCCAAAAAGAATTTTTTTTTTCTCTTTTCTGATAGTACATCCATGCACAATCAAGTGCTAGTATTATTTTTTTTGGGGGGGGGGGGGGAATCAAGATATGCTCGTGTAGAAAAAATTAATAATAGTGAGGCGGACAATGTTGATGGATAATCTGTATAATTATCCTATAATGACTTATGGTGATGGGGCAGATCCTGATCAATTTGGTTGTGACCCGAGCAGAAATCACCCAATTTTTTTTGTTATAAAAAGAAAATTTATATCCAAGGATCATCTAGGAATTTTAACACCATGCAAAACTAATGCCTAGTTTGGGCGTTTTGGGAGAGAAAAAGAAGGATGCGATTTTACTTTGCTTGGAAGTGAAGAGAAGTAGAAGGAAAGGATTTTATTTTACATTAGTATCCTTGAATTTAGAACTCAAAATTGGTGTATATTAAAAAAGTTCCCTTTCTTTTTCGTCACTTTTCGCCCATAATTGAACAGAAGATTTATTATTATTATTATTATTTTTTGACTTGTGAAGGGACGTCAGATCCCTCCCTTTCCTGATTCCTCCCCTTTCTTTTGTCACTAACAAAACTCCCAAATGAAACAATGCACCCACTTTCCTTCTAACTCTTTCGTTTTCTCTCCAAATCAGCTCTCCCAAACTGTTGGATTTTTTTTTTAAAAAAAAAGGAAAAAAAAGTGATTGGACCTTCATTACGGTTGACTTGGCATCCATATGTGCACCCACGATTGGCTCTTCCAACTAAACAGCTACCATACAAGTCAAAAGACAAATGTTTTGCTCCGTCTCGCAGTGTAGAAAATAAATCGCATGTTGGGTGAGACTTAGGATGGTACGGCCCACACAAGATGGAAATGGGCAAATACTACTACTCTTTTTTTGTTGGGGACCTCATCGAATCAATTGCCGACAAGTATTCCTACTACTTGAGAGATATATATTTACGTGGGGATCACATGACGTTTTCCCCGTCTGTAATTTGGGAAGATTAACATAATTTTGTTGGCTGGTAATTACGCGTTTTGAGAGGAAACATGAGCAATAATTATTCTCAGAAAAAGCCCTCAGCAGAGGCACGTGCCGTCTCGATTGCAGCAAGTTTTTTGGAGTAGCACAGCACTACTGTTGTTGTTGTTACCTTGGACATGCTTCTGTCTTGTCTCTCTCTCTTCTTAATCACATTTATTGTCTAACAACATAATGCTTCCGAAATCTCATCTGCTTGACCCAACAGAAAAGTTGGGGACGTATTCTTTTCTTGAGAAACAATTATCATCAGGGCAATTTGGCTTTACCGTATGAATTATAAAGCCAAAGTCATAAAAGAATAATAATAATAAAAGCTCCACTACGTGGGAATAACGATTCGGCTAAATAACTGAATTAAAGATCAGATTAATCAAATTGTCTTTAAAGAACTCAGGTTTGTTTGGATTGTAAGTTATTTGAGATATTTTTACTGTAGCACTTTTTATGATGTGATGTATGTGAGATAAAAAGGTAATTGGAAAGGTAAAAAGGTGTATTGAAAATTGTAATGATGATGTAAGCAAATATATTTGGGGAAATAAAGGCCAATCCAAACAAACCCATTATCAGCATGATGTCATAATTATTTTGGGGAGATTCTACCGTGTCCAATTGGTAAACTCACGTTAATATTCATTGTTATATTATGAAACACAAGTTTATGAGCCTTAGAATCGAGGGAGTAGTTCACTAAAAGGGCTATAGGATTTATAGTTCACTAAAAGGGATTTAGTTTAATTAATTCACCAAAAGTCATTACCGGAGCCCGTAAGATTGACCAATTGGTAACAATCTCCCCATTCTTTGGCTCAGAAGTCAGCGCGTACTTGGTCAATTAGAACAATAAATAAATATTATTAGTTCAAAGAAACACAAATAATTGTGTGCAGTGCAGTTGATAATAACCAAAAAAAAAAAGAAAAGGAAAAAAGTTACAGTACGACGGACCATGAGAAGTTCTATTTGCAATTTAATTAATGCTTTTGTATAATACTGCTTGATCTCCCATGTAAAACGATGCAACAAGAAGTCCATAACGCACATGACGCATCATTGTCTCGTAGAATTCCTCCCTTGGAAAAATTCAAGAGAAGGTGACATAGAAGAAAACGTCTATCTAATACAACGTCGGCTGTCGGAAAATCTATCAATTACCACCATCAGCTCTTCTGTTAAGATAAAGCTTACCGCGTTAATTAACGACAAAGACTCCATCGGAAATTCTTGGAAGCGCATGCAGACACATAGTTTAAGCTGATCAATAGCAGCAAGTAGTCAAAGCCTTGTTTGAAAGGGAATATATACGGAGTTGATTGATGCCATGATGGTAGTGTAAATATTAGGTGACCATAAAGTAGTTGGATTGGATTGGAATGGACATTATTAATTAATGGGAAAACGACATATCTCTATATCCCATGGTGATCACCACACATCTTAGTATTATTATGCAACATGCATTCATGACGATTATTATAACATGCATCATGACGGCGACCATGGCTGAAGAAGACCCGTCAACTAAATTTGCTCAATTCGTCATAATCAATACAACCTAACTAATCAAATCGGCTTTTAGCCTTTGATTTTAGTTCATACGAGCTATAGCTAGTATATAGGTATATCTTACATGTCTCTTTTTTTTTTTTTTTTTGTTTTCTGCTGCAATTGAGCTATGTTTTGAAACTCGGACCGGACAATGACTCGGTCGAGGTCAGGTCGAACCCATCTAAGAACCGGGTGACGTCATCATGATGTCATAAATATGTTTAATTTTAAAAATTAATATGCTATGTAAAATTTCTAAAAATGTAATAATCTTGAGAAAGGTATGTTCATGTATATTTGGTGGTTCTAAGATATTTTACAAGAAAATACAAATAAAGTAATATAGTCAAGTAGCAATCTATAACATTTAATCATATTCAACAAGTTTAGAAGTTAGAACTAAATTAGAGGGCTTATTTGAAAAATAATACTAGAATTTAGGGCAGAAGCTACAAATTATAAAGATTTTTAGGCATGTTTACAGTTTTCTATCACTCTAGGGGTCAAACCATAAAATTGACAAAACTTTGAAACCCCAAAGCTGATTTCCCTAGATCTTTCCGTTCTTTTTTCTCTCAAAGTCTCGTAGGCCGTCATCGTCCTCTCCATCCCATCCTTTCTTCTCCAGAGTCCAGACGCATTCCTCCTTCTGTTTCTTTTTTTTTTTTTTTTTTCTTTTGTCCCTTTTTCACTTCTATATCTTTGCATTTCTTTTCTATTTACCACATGAAAATCATCAACACTATTTTTTTTGTTGGGCGAGAATCATCAACTCACATTAAGTTTCTTCTGTCAAATGCTGAAGCTGGGTCTGCCAAAGGAAAACGTGGCTCAACTATAAATGATTTCTAGACACAGTCTGGAAAATCATCAATTTCTCTTCTTTTTTTTTCTCAGTTCTCTTAATTTTAACTTTAGATCTTTCAATATTTGTGTTAGAATAGCCATACGTGACTATACCACTGCTGTTGCCGTCGAATCTGCACTCAAGGATCGATATTCATGCTGAAAATTTTGGGAGAAACATAGCAGAAATTGGATGTTAGAAAAAAATATCTGGTAAGAATAGCAGAAATTGGATGCTCAAAAAGAACCGGGTTTTCCCGGTTGTTCCAAGTTTCCGGTCAAACCCGGATTTTGACCGGTTTTGACCGAGTCTTTGTCACCCGAGTTTTTGAACAAACTCGGACCGGACATGTCTCCGGTTCCCGGTTCAACCGGTCGAACCGCCCGGTCCGGTCCGAGTTTAAAAACATGGCAATTGAGATACAGCATAGTTTTATTGGTACAATTTGAATGTCTCACGCTCCTCGTCGCCGGTAATGGCATAATTAACCTAGAGAGTTAGGAAAATTGATTAAAAATCAAATCGGGAATCCTTCGGTTGGAACTTGGAATTAAAAGCCATCAAGTCCAGAGAGCCGGATGATCCCACGGGTGGCTTTCATCCAAGAGATTGAGATTAGCCTGGAAAGCTGCGAGTTGGCTGCTAGAATTGATGAAGTTGTTGTCAAAGCTCTGTTGCTGAGGTGACGAAGCCTGCGGAGATTGTGCCATTTCCATGCAAATGAGAGCCATGAGGTTGGCTTGTTGGCATTGCATGTTGACCAGCTCAGCCTGTGTCTTGGCCAATTGTGCTTGGAGATCGTTCACTTGCTTCTGCAGCTGGCAAATGGCCCCCGCACTTCCATATACAGGATCTCTCAGCCTGGCGTTTGCTTCATAAACCATGCTGCTCACTGCATCGGCCCTCTGGGACTCCGGCAGCTCCTGAAAATTGTTAATTATATAGACTTGATCAATCAATATTCATGATTGGTGCTCGCTCTTCATTAATCAATTATGCACAGAACTAATGAATTGAGAAAGGTCATGAGGCAGGTTGGTTTTCCTTGTCGTCAAACGCTTTGAAAGTGCTTCAAAAGTACAAACTCGTTACGCGAGTTTCTTCTTCCAGTTCCAGCTGAAAAGAGATTTTCTTTTTCTCACTGAGCTGTACAGCCGTAAACCATCACCTCCCGAACAGTTGAATGCCCAGTGGCTGATGTTCAAAAAAAATGTTCTTTTTGCACCAATGTGAGAAAGAAAAAGAGAAAAAGTTGTGGGGTGCAGGGCCAGGGTTAGTTGTGGAAACCGACGGGCAAGTCAAAAGTGGGAGTTGGGACTTTTAATTAAAAGTCCACTATGTGAACTACCCTTCATGTAGTTTTTCAATTTACAGTTTGAAAAAAACAGCTCAGCGCCATGCATCTAATTAGGCATTCCCTACCATGATGACGCTAATACGTGCAAATGTCTTCCTTGCGTACACACTATTCTAGATACAGGAGCTACTTCTGGATGTAGTAGTGTCCCTAATTTCAACAACGGACCGAGATTAATGTTGTCGGTCCATTCTGGTTGTTGAACCTTTAACATAAGACCTCAAACATATCTAGAAAGATGATTTTCCAAGCACAATTAACGTAGAAATATCGGGACCATGCTTATTCAGTGCCGGATGACCCTTAATTACCTACCTGTAAAAACTTGATTATGTTGCTGGCTCCGAAGACACGGTGAGCGGTGGTGAACTTGATGGGATCGTTGGGAGGAAAATATGGTGCCAGGACACACTTCTCGGCACACCTCCGCCGGAGGATCTTGCATGCAGCGCAGGGGCTGACCACCACGGCCGGAGGAGGAGGCGTGGGAGGAGAGGAGGGAGAAGAAGGAGAAACCGAGCGAGAAGATTTTGAAGTAATAGTTGTAGCGGTTGTTGTGTCACTATACCCCATTTTTTTCCGACGGTGCGGAGCAGCAGTATCAGTGTGTGAGGTGTGTGTTTGTAAGAAGGAAGAGAGTGAGGAAGTGGGAAGGGATTCGGGGGTGCCTTCAGCAAGTTGGATGACATGGAAATATTTATAGAGCTGGTTAGGCCCGACCCGAGAAAGGGGGAGCGGGGCCATGATGTAATACCTTGAATATCTGATGTCAAGTGGTTAAAAAAATTTGGGGAAATCATGCGGGATACGGCTGTTGCCCGTTTTCGCCTAGTCAGCTATGTTTGGCGTACTTTTTTGGCTTCGTTACGTGGGAACTTTGAACCCTTTATCCAAGTCGAAAACCTGGCTGGGTTCAGGAGATTTAGACGGAACATGTAGCCTTCTTAACATTAATTAACAAACGATCGCAAATTATATTGGAGTGGAAATGTTTTGATAAATTGTCCAACCCGCAAAAGAGGAAATTATGGGATGCAACTCTAATATTGTTTTTACAAATGCATGTGCATAAGAACATGATTGATTGATTATGGTACAGCATAAGAGTGGATAAGGAATTACAAAACACTCATTTACAAATGCATAATCACAAAACACTTTAACCCATTTATAAGAAAACAAAGAATTTTATAAAAGAAAATTCCTAATCAGCAATAAACCAGTTTACTCCTTTTCTACTCTATGGTATTCACCAATTTGCTAGTATTTATTTCCTCTTCCGATCCTCCTTGGACCGATTGCAAGCCTAACTAATTTTCCAACAAAATTTCCCCTTCGTCACTGTCAAAATATCTTCCCCTTTCTTTCTTCTCATGAAAAAATGTGTAGAGATTGGTAAATAATCAATTTTTCTATGCCAAAAAGATAAAACTCATGTCAAGCACTTAAACCATATTAATTTGATATAGACAGCATGAATTACACAAATAAATTGTTTTGCCGAAAACCCAAATGTGAAATTACTTTTTTCAATTTGCTTCTAATGTCATGGTAATCTTTCTTTTCCTCTTTTTTATTTTCTTTCTTGAGCGCAAGCAACATATAACATAATTGCCAACATTTTCTAAGATTATATATGGGTGTGGGATATATGGGTAGATCATAATAGGGGTTTTAATGAGTTAGATTGGGTTTAAAATGACAAATATGATTTTGATTATTTTGAGTATCAGAATAGATTGCTGATGGCACCGCAGAAAAGGGAGGATGATACAAGGGCAACTTGGCATGAAAGAATGTTGCTCAATAATTTTTCCTCCTTGCCTTGGGGACGAAGAGCAGTGGCGTTCCAAGTATTGGTGAACTATTGATGGGCGCCGGCTAGTTAAAGAAAGAGATGAAATAAACTTTATTAAAATTTGAAAGAGGGCATTATAGGATATTCAAATGAGAAATTGACCTATTAGGTCTACTTTGTTACATAAACCGTCAACAAAAGGGAGGTGACTGTAATTTTTCTAACCTTAGGAGGGTTATCTGCTATTGTCAGAAACTTCAAGGGAGGTTTCTAAAATTATCCCTAATTTTTTGTCACTTGCTAAAATATCCAACCCTATCTTCAAACAAAAATTTGATTTTACCATTCTAATCTTATCCACCGAAAACTCGTATTGCCAACGAAACACAACCATAACTAAATTTTATCTAACTCTATGAATGAATGCATATTGCTTATTTAATCACCCATAAGCATTATAACCACCAAATCAATTTCAAAAACCTATTCAACAAACTACTAAAGAGCAGAGTTAACTTTTCTTGATGAAAATTTTATACTAAATTTTTTTCATACAAAAAGCGATTTGTTCTAAAATTACACATGTAACGAGTGTTACTCTCAGCACTAACAGAGGGTAATTTGGGATGAACTCGCGATAATTTAGAGTCCTTCCTACGTGGAGACTAGCTTATACGATTAGCATTGGAATTAACATACATGTGTTTATTTATGGTCCAACACACTCTGAATCAAAGGGATTAAGCCCTTGTTTGTCTCAGTAACTACACCCTTCTCGCGCTGAATTGTACCTTGAGCTATCATGATTCTCGAGTAGCTAGGGAGATCAATAGCGTTACTATTCCTAATTATTCTTCATTATCACCATCACTAACTCACTGTGTTTTCCTTATTATTGTGCCATCTTCTCATTATGATTGCTGTTTCGCAACTGAAACATTCTATTATATGGGGAGCCGGAGCATGCAACTCTGTAGATGAGGAAATGGGAATATCTTCAGTCAGCATTTTATCCAAGTATGGAACAAACACACAGGGGAAGGTTTACCATTTTGTACAAAATGTTTGTCATGGACCCTAATTTTCTAATTAGAGTGGGAACGTTCTGCACACCACCATAGTTTATCATTATCAGTTAGTAGTCTTCAAAATCTTAACACGTTTTTTTTTTTCCCTTCACCAGTGATTCGGTGCAAGCAAGCATATTTTAAGAGGAATGATGGTGAATGGAAATCATGTATCACAATGCATTATTCATTCAGTGGCTTTATCACATTGGGAGAGGCAAAAATTCAATGGTATGATCTGGAGGCTAGCTTTCGTACGTTTGTTTCCTAATTTTTCAATGCCCTCAACTCAATCCTACAGGAAAATTAAAATTAAGCAATAATTTTCGCTGGTCAAGCCTTTGTATCCGAAAATAGAACATACAAAAAATGAAGAACAGAAAGGAATAGGGTCTATGGAGGCAACCGTAAATGGAAAAGATCAAGCTCGGAGGTCGAGATTTCAACACTGTAAAACCAAATTTCTGACGCGTACTTGGACGGCAGGTGCACGATAAATTGGAAAATATACCGACTTCCAATTCGACCCCTAGATCTAAAGAAAAGTCTCCTATATACCCATCAAATTTGTCGAGACTCAGATTCTAGAAATTTTAATTAAACCTCCAATTTCCGATGATGACAAAAGAATTAGCTCCAGATTCCCTGGACACGAGTAAGATTGTCTTAGTCAGTCAGTCCAAGGAGCAACAAAAATTGAAAGTCAAGATGACTATTCATCAGTATTGATGTTAATGTTACTTACTTACTTAAACAGAAGTCCTGCTCCTGCACAGAAATATCATCCACGGCCTACTTCTTCTCGCCCTACAAACTCATCTAAATTAACGACCACTGCTTCAATAGCAGCAGTGTAGAAGCAGGACTTCACAAGTAGTTCGGTGTAGGGAAAGGCATGAAAGGGGACACATGTGCAAATGAGAAAATGTGAAAAAGGGGCACAATTTTTTTTCTTTTTTTTGGTCATCTATTGGGGTGGCTTTAAATCTTGATTTAGTTTAAAGGTCATCTCATGGGATGCCACCACCGCCGAGACAGGAGCACTCTTCCTAATCCCCTAACCACCATTTCACTACGTGTCTATTATTGGATAATGACAAGAGTAGACAAAAGTTAATCGTGGGGCAGCGGTTGGTTGTAATGGTCAGCCCGTTTAGCACATGACAGTAGAAAACATAAATTTCTCTTCGACTTAGGTTCCGTTTGATAAAACTGAATCTGAATTCTGAAGTTTGAATTCTGAAATCTGAATACTGAAACAATTAATTTGCTGAATTTTAAGCACTGAAAAGAAATATATGAATGTCTGAATTTTAATGTTAAATCTATTTATACTGTTTGATAAACATTTATAACTGCATGATTAATAAGTTAAATTTGACAAATTTGCCCTTATATTTTTTCATCCAAAAAAAAATAGAACCTATGATTTAATTAGCTAAAAATGTTAGGTATGAAAATGATAATATATATTTTTAAATCAAATTAATATAAAAGATGAAATATATTATATGAGGAGTATGAAGAAAATGTGAAAATCATTCAAAAAGGAAAAAAAAGAAATAGAAAATCATTAGATAGAGAATATTAGATTGTTTAATTAGATAAGAATTTTGAACATAATTAACAAACAAGGGTAGATTTGGTAGATAAGATAAGGTAATTGAAGTAATTCCATTGATTCTTATCAGCATTAAGCATTCAGTTAGGATTCTTGTACTGAAAAAAATACACACAAGTTCAGCACTACTTAACAAGTTCAACAAATGGATTTTCATTTATCAAACGCTCAAAACATCTGAATGTCTGAAAAAATTCAGATTCAGCACTTTTCTCTGTTATCAAACAGACCCTTAAACTGGTCTTCAACTTTACAACGAATAAATTCATGATTAATACTAACCCTTTTTCTTTTTTCTTAGTTTACTTAACGAGTGCCCATCGGACAAAGAGAACTCGTTATATGGGTTAATTTTTTTAATCAAAAAATGCAGTTAATTTTGAAAAAATGTTTAAATATAAGGTATGCAATAGTTATAATTATTTATATTCATGTAATAAGTTGAGTGCAGTCTAAGTATCTTAAATAAATACTTGTTGAAAAAATCTCTTTTTTTTTAATAGGAATATCAGTTGGAATCTTCTGTGCTACTATTCGGTGCTAAATTCAGTCCCCCCCCCCCCTATCTTAAAAGAAGAAAAAAAAAGCCCTGAAAGCCTTGCTTCTCCCAATGGTACTTTTTTCTTCCTCTGGTTTAATACCCCATGTATACTACTTAAGTTGAATAATTGCATTTCAGAAAAGAGTTGTCCCATCCCAAGTTCATCGATTACTACTATAGCACAAAGTAATATTGGGGACTAATGCTACTCTTATCTTGCTTTTGACTGTTGGTGAAAGTGAAGGTACATACTTTGTTGGACTAGAGTTTTATCTTTATTGTTGATATATGCTGTTTTGCATCTCTAGTGATATAGTAGCTAAAGTTAAGGTCGCTGTTTCCATCTACTCTTCATAAGCGAAATTTTTTTTGTATTTTGATTGTAACAAAAATTTGCGTTTGCATGACTTCACTTGGAATGATAGATATTGAAATCTAATCTCTTCAGTTGAAAATAAGTACAATACGGAACTAACCTCATCCAACCGGCATGAATTTCTGGCTCTTGGACTAGGGAGAAAGGAGAAAATGAGAGGGATGGCAGCCAAGAGGGAAAATGGGTGCTGCTTGTCTAATCGATGCTTGAAAACCATGCTCAGCATACGCGTACTCAAGAGCTGTATTAGTCTTTCAGTAGCA